GCACCGCAAATACAACATCGCTATATTAATTCAAACCCACAGAACCTTACTATAACGTACTCATCAAACTCAGTTGTCTAGAACTGCCGAAAACATTTGTTATATTAGGAACTCAGAGGAAGCTCGTGCCTTAATACAGTAACTCATAAAAAATCCGAAGCGACGGTACGGCAACAGATGATAGAGTCCAAGGTTGTGAAAAATTGAATTCCTACTTTGCTGCCTCGTTCATCACTGCATCATTTGCATCCTGTACGCTAATCCCAAAATATGGGAGTAGTATTCTGTAACATTCCCATGATTCTGAAGAACATACAGATGACTTTCACAACCATCAAATTGACATTCCAACCAGGACCAGATGGTGGTCCCCCTACAGCTATTAGACTATTAGGCGAAGACGTATCCCTCCGCATGCTGAACATTTTTGCATTGTTACGAAACACTGGCTGCTTCCCGTTTCGGTGGAAATTTTCCATAATTATGACAAAACACAAGCACGGTCTATGTGATTGGATGTCAAAGTACCGGCCGATAAAACATACTTCCTTCACTGCTAAGACCTCAGGAAATTTCGGCAAAAATCGTGTAACTCAGTTTCTGACGGGACAAAACCTACTCAGCCGTTCACAACGCGATTACAACACACAACTTTCCGTTGGCACCTGTCAACTACAATTTCCAAATCATTTTGCAGTAACAATTGATGATGACATAGTCACCACTTTTATCCTTCTGGACACGTAAAAAGCATCTGACCGCGTACTGCACAAAGCACTGTTGGCTATGCTTGATTACTATGGGATCAATAATAGTATATTGAGCTGGTTCGACTCACAATGGATCGAACACAAACAGTACAGTTAGGTCTACACTTAGGTTCAATTATTCGCCGAGCTTCGTAATTGGTATGCAGACGTTTCATCACCACGCGAGGTGACTTCCTCAGAGTAGCTGGGTAGACGAATGGTCACGGGGCACAGATCGAGAGGGTCAATTCAAAAGTCACTTGCTAATCAATCACAAATCGACGACCAAACCAGCGGATTACGTTTGACCCTGCAGCGCACTGAGGAAGTCACCTCGCGTGGTGATGAAACGTTTTCATATCAAATACGAAGCCCGGCGAACAATTGAACCCAAGAACGATCAGCCCGGGCTACCAGTACATCAGGTCTACACTGTTTTTCTCCCATAAATGTCATTAGTGGCGTCGTTCAATAAAGTATAAGGAGTTCATTGCATCCCTTAGTTAAAGAAATGATTTCCTTGGATACAATCACCCATCTTTATTTGCGACGACATCAAACTAGTGCACTCATTTCCACCTGACGATCTGGAGCTATGCATAAAAAATATACGTCTTGGTCTATCATCCCTAAACAAATGGCACATCTATGAGGTTCTCAGTTGGAAAATCTCTGGTACTCTATCACAGATTCTGTATAACAGAAGAACCCATCACTTTTACTGGTACCCTCATCCCAACCACGTACTCAGTTCGTAACTTGAGAATACGATACTCTAGCAGCTTTATCCTCTCTGAACAGATCCTACTTCAAGTAGCGAGAACGAAACAACTAACAATCTACATCACTAGATCATTTTCCCTAACCCACACACGACTTGAATAATTCAAACTTATAGTACCACCCACACTGGAGTACTGAACCGTCATACAGCCACCTACAAAAGGCTGGTAGAATTGCATTGGAAAAAAGCAACCGCTGGTTTACCAACATGATCACTGACGCTTACCTTCAAGGAACAATGTTCTTACCTCCAGCTTGGCCCCATCTGGCTTCGATGACTAAAAAACATCTTTTTTCTCTACAGCACAATATATTTACGACTCCTCAGCCAATGTGGCTGTCGTTCTACAAAGTGGTTTAACCTATTCCACTCGTAATGGGAAATTTCCTATTCTTCACGGGTTTCACGGGTTTGCGCAGAACGAGTAAGCGTAGCTTTTCGGTGGTTCTGCCTCGGGATCTTACGGCAAGGTCCTGATCTCGTCGGTAGGTACCAGATGTTGTGGGTCTCGACGCAGTAGTGGTGTTCAGCACAAGAATTCAGCGAGTTGACTGTGGGAACGTGGATACCTGGAACAAGAGAGTGGTGTAGGTAAATTCGGCAAAGTTGGATAGAAGCAAAATGATGGAAGCGCCGCGTGTTAGCTTGGCAAATGGCCAGATCTTAGCAACGTTGAAGACCAGCGAGGTAAGAGCCAAGCGTCTAGGCGCTGTTTGAAGGCCTCCGTATTGGGCGCTGAGACAACAGCTTCGGGGAGGGCGTTCCAAGCGAAGGCAGTATGCACACTGAAACTGTTTCTTCGGCACAGAAGGCGACTGCTACGAGTCATCAGTTTGAGTGAGTGCCCTCGAAGATGATCTGTACAGGCGCGGACCAGCAATCCTGCGTTTGGGTGTCTGTTATTAGTCAGGACGGAATAAGCTAAGATAAGGTCGCCACGAAGCCTGCGATGTTTCAACGGGAAGAGGTTAAGGGCCGCCAGACGCTCCTCATACGAGAAGTGGGATAGTCCGTCCACTCTCTTAGTGGCTCTGCGCTGTACAGTTTCCAGCATGGCCTCGTCCTTCTTCAGGTACGGCGGCTGGACAAGTATGTTGTACTCCAGCAGCGGACGTACTAAAGTGCTATAGAGACGGACAAATGTCTCTCTAGGGAAAGACCCTAGTGCACGTCCAAGGAGGGCCAGGCGAACGCTAGCCTTTCGCGCCAGTGTAGCTACATTGGCGCTCGGGCTCAGGTCGGCGGATATTATGGTCCCCAGGTCGCGTTCCTGGGATGTGGCTTTAAGATGCACACCGCCGATATTGTACGGATTAGCCACACCTTGCCCAATGTGCATGACTTTGCACTTGTCGATGTTAAACGGGAGCGAATTTTTCAAGGCCCAAGAATAAGCAGCATCGATGTCTGTCTGGAGAAGTGCCTGATCACTTGGCCTGCGGATAGGTCGCCATATCTTAGCGTCGTCCGCATAAAGCAGTATGTGGCTGCTGATACAGGATGGGAGGTCGTTGATGAACAAATTGAACAGCAGGGGCCCGAGGATGGATCCCTGGGGCACCCCGGTCGTTGCAGCCAGAGCGCTGGAGAGTGCGCCGTTTACACGAACTCGGTAGGTGCGGCCAGACAGGTAGGTACTTAGCCAGCAGATTGTTTGCTGGTCGATCCCCAAACTCGGCAGTTTACTCAACAGCAGTGCGTGATTGACCCGGTCGAATGCTTTTGAGAAATCCACGTAAACCACGTCAGTTGGAGTATGATTGTCTGCCTCTGCAGTCCAGGAATCAAGGGCTGCGAGAAGATTCGTGGTGCACGAGTGAGCCCTGCGGAACCCGTGCTGTTCCGGGGCTATTAAGGACAGCCTTTCTAAATGGCAGCGCAAGAAATCGTCTACGATACTCTCCATTACTTTGGAGGCAGTGGAAAGCAGTGCTATCGGGCGGTAATTAGAGGGGTTTGTCCTGTCACCACCCTTGTATATCGGCGTTATGACCCCTTGCTTCCAAGCGTTCGGGTATTCGGCACTGGTGTAGGAGCGGCTGTACAGTAAGGCAAGCGGCTCGGCCAGTACAGTGGCGCACTCACGTAGAAAAATGGGAGGGATCCCATCCAAACCCGGCGATTTGTCTGTCCTTAATTTTTTTAATTTCTCCAGGACTTTCTCTGATGTAAACTGCACGGGATGTCTGGCAGTGATGGGGGTAAAGTTAGCGCCTTCCATCGTACTGCATGCGAAGATGCCGAAAACGGACTCGTACTGAGTCTTCAGCAATTCCGCAGCTTCTTTGTCCGACGTTGTGGTATTGCCTACGGGCCGAAGACCGAACAAAAATTCGCCTTGATTTCTTCTTGGTGATGTACGCCTCTCTGTGGAATAAGCCACCGTTGCAATTAACTACCAGTGAGAGCCTGCTTGCATTCAGCCCACAACTAAACAATCCTCTTTGTATGTCATATGTGGTCAAAATTTTGGCCTTCAGCTACCTATGTGTACACTCATGGAATCTGGAACGAAAAACACATGAAAACTACCTTACCAATAGTATGTTTCGTTACATCTTCTACCAACCAGTGCATTACTGATCCACAGGTTCCTACATGATATGAAGGCCATGTTAGCTGTAAAAATGCTTGTTCCCCAAGAGGGAAAGTATCTCACCCGTGGGAAAGGTTGCCTATTAATTTATTTATTATGCGTGGCGCTCACCAGAGTTTGCCCATTTCCTCCACTTTTCTCTACCTTTGCCGTGGGCTCCATTTCTGAGTGCTCCATGCGGAAACTCACGACATAGGTACTGAGGTGCTACTTTGAGAGAAACATTGTTTATCTGCACTGTGCGGATGACATCGTTTTACTGTTTTAAGGCCATGAGTTACCTTGTTAAGTTCTGTATTGTCCCTCTAGATTAATCCCTTCACTTGGCTTGTGTTTCGTAGCTTACAAATGCAGTGTTGTTATAGGACCACCACCGACTTCCAGGCGGAAGTTCAGGTGATATACCTTGTGCTTGGCTCGACATGGCTCCCTGTCGGCACCAGTGGCGTGTCTGCTGTTGTCTCTTAGTCTGACTGTTCATTTAAAGTGTGTTTACCGCTAGGTTATCTGCAGGATAAAATCTGATTATGACGCGAAACAGTGAATACGATACAGTTGCTTCAGCCCGGTAAGATAGCTAGCTAAATTTGATCGTGTGTTGTGGACAAAATGTAGGCGCCTCATTCCCGAATGGTTGCGTAGGTTTTGCAGGAGGTCCCTCCTCTCCTCCTCTCACTATTCCTATTTCATAGGTCACCATAACTGTGTAGCAAAGTGGCGTCAGTTAAAAGTACCGATGTATTGAAAATAATGAGGATGATAATGAGACTATCAATTATGAACACCGGTTTGAGTATGAATAAGAGGAACTTGATGTGCGAATACGGCTCTATAGTCGAATCTGATTCAGTCAACGCTTCCTTTGTTACAGATGGAGTTCAGTGCAAGACACATCAGTTTCCACTACGTTGAAAAAACACTGATGTACCTCATTGAGTATGTAATATATTACATACACCCATTCGCGCCGCGCAACGCCTGACAATCCTCTCATCCTTGAACACAAAGATCGCCTACACTGGTTCGATTCGGCGCATCTCAAGCTCGTTTCACGGTTACGGTTTAGGTGAAACCACGTGCCCAAGCGCCTCCATCAACCTGCGACGTCTGCAGATCGGTCTCTCAGATTCACCCCACACCTGCTCCGCTGAAGTACCGTTGTATCTTATATTGTTGATCTTCTAAAAGATATATCCTATGTAAATTTGTATGGTATTCAAATAGATTTCTCAAGTAATGCGTTGATGAAAACACTGCTACGCTGGTGGATACCTGGGGTCGGCAGTGCAGACAAAGTATGAGCATCATAAGTCCCGTAATAATACAACGCATAATAAAGTTATACGAACCCCGGAAACCTAACAGTACACTGCGCTTTAGAGTGCTTGATTATTCCAAAGCATAGGTCACATAGATCTGCTCAATACTCAATTGCTGAATACTCAATTTTCCTGCCGCACAACCTTGGCTTGGAGTGCATGGGGCCAGGGGCTGGTTCTCATAGCAGTCAATCCCGCAATACAAATGCATGATTAAATAAAATTTACGGCGGTTGTGTGCATGTGTGCTAGGAGATAATTTGGGTAGATGAGGGTTCTGAATAGATACTTCAACTTTTTATGCACTCACGCGGTCGCATGCTGGTCTATTAACACATCCTGTTTTCAACGGCTTCCAGTTCAAGCATTTCATTCGCAAACACCATTGCTTGGTAGTAACACTATTATTTCTCCGAGTTCCCTGTTGTTTATTAGTGCTTCTTGCTGAATCCTTATCACCAATCTCACATGTACTAGCGTAGTGCTTTTCCCGGTTGGACACACTGTTAGTTATAGTGGCTCCAAATCACGTTGTCTACTGGGGGCGCACTTGTTGCATCCGTCCACATGCTTCCGCCCGTCCTAACGAGCGGGGATCTAGGATATTAGCCAACTTTTAACAACACAGTAATCGTAACACTTGGGAATTTTTCCCACCTCTGGGTTAATCGACTAGAGCGCTCAGTGCTCACTTACTTAATAATAGTTTCTTAGCGGGTCATTTATAGAAATGCCCACTTCAGGTGAGAGCACGAGGCTGAGTTTGCGTAAATTGTCTTATCAAATGTGACAGTCTTCTCCCTTACCACTTGGTAAACTTTTCATATTTGCTTTTTTGTGATGCGAACTGGGAATGTGGACATTTCAGGGGAACCCGTCTCGGTCCCATTTATACTCGCATTCACCACCCATACGGAAAGGCACTTGGCTTCCGTTTTTTCCTGGAACTAGTGTTGGGGCAAAAATATACCTGGGCAGAAAAAAATTACCCATTGCGTCGTCGAAACAACGGAAACAACCACCAATTCACTGACATTTACTTATTTACAGCAGAAAAAGATAGCAAAACTGTGATAAAACTTCGACCACTGGTTGAGAAAACCGACACAATGTTACGTTTTTAAGGAAGTCCAACATAGCGAAGTTGATAACTTCAACCAACTCGAGGTGCTCGACGCCATTTGAAAAGCCGCAGTTGATATCAACTGTCATCCCGTCCAGCCGAGTAGATGGATGAAGTAAACGAGGAAGTCCATCAGTTTAGAGAAGTGAACGTAACGAAGTGGTCAGAGATTTTGCGTCGAAGGATTACGCACGAAACTGAGACACAATGACCAGACCAACGAGTATGGAAACGTGGAATCGATCGAAGTGCCGATAGTTCGCTATGATTAGTGCACGAACCAGATAACATTGAAAGGTGCGTAATTCGATGGAAATGTGACCGTAGCGGAATCCAGGTATACGTCTGAAACTCTCCTGGCCCACGATCGCCCTTCACATTTTGCAGCTACCCAGACCATTGATGTGTTTACCCATTCATGAATAAAGATGTGATGCTTTAAATACCCCACTAGAATGACAATTTTACAATTTTAACTGGTGTTCAATTAGGAAAACAATGTGGATTTTTAGGGCATCCAATCTGCTTCTGTCTTTACGAAGCATGTTGATACCCACTCGTTAGCAGTGGCTTCTGTGTGGCCTTTTGCAAGGAAGCATGCACTACGGACACAGTTCATGTCATACAATTTCGATCCCGTTGCTGTTTGTGCGACAGTATATAGCTGGCTTTCCGTGACTAAGTTGTTTAGTAAGTTTCCCCGAGAGGAGCAAACCGGTTTTCGTCCAGGATTTGGTTGGATCCACCAATCTTTTACAATCCGTTATTCACTCGAACCCCATCACGTTCTCGAACGACCAGTACAATCGCATTGTTCTTGGGCCTCAAGGAGGTATTTGAGTAAGTAGACAGACTTACTTTGTGGAAATGTCTACAAAGGTAATTCGTGCCCGACAACTATGTAACCATCCTGAAGAAACTGTACTGCCACAAATCGGGAAAATTTAGCGCTTACGGCAGGCTCTCCTCTTCGTTCGCTGACACTAGCGGCATTCGCCAAGGTTGCTCTATTTCACCTTTCCTCTTCAATTTTGCACTCAATGCTGTCCAGCGAGTAGTAGGCGTCCGGGACAGCGGTGTTGAAATCCTCCCTAACAACTGGGTCGCGGACTTGGATTACGCCGATGATGACCCATATTTTAGCGAATATCCAAAAGCGGTCTAAAATACCCTGTAATGCGTAGCGATAGAGGTATCTAAGTGCGAACTGTATATCACCCCAACCAATGAATAATGAGTGAACAATGATTAATCACGAGATAAAAGCAAGTGCTTGACACGTCCCGTAGAATGGTTGCGGTGAATTTGATGAAATCAAAATACATCCGGGTCATCTACCGAACGTCTGCCTAGATGAATACCTTGCTAATTTACATCGGTGTAAAATTTAAAAAAGCAAGCGTAAACGTTCAGAAAGACACTAGGGTGCAGTGATGGTTGATGTAAGGCGTGAGAAAATAAAATATGGTCGCTCATTTGGGTCCATTTGATACATAAATCCTGTTGAAAAGCATGCTTGACGTAATCCACAATAGAGGAGTTTAGGTAACAAAATGCTGGGAGCTAAGAGCAACATCTAATCGTTTTTTGAAAACATCCAATGTAGGAGAGGATACAACTGAGTCTGGGAGCGCGTTCCAGAGTTGGCAAACCTGAAAGGAAAAGTAATTCCTTCGACACTCTAGACGGCTATATTGTTCCTTTAATTTTAATCAGTTACCCCTGAGCTGCGTGTTGTGGCTAAGTTTCAGCAAATGGCGGCATACGTGGTTGGGGTCAATCAGTATCTGATAAGCTAATATGAGATCACCGCGCAGCCTTCGATAGCGTCCGCTGAAAATTCCCAGCAACTTTAGCCTACGGTGGTAAGAGTGATAGCGCAGGCCCTTTAAATTTTTTGTTACTCTTCGTTGTGGTGCTTCTAACGCTTCTAGGTCGCGCTTCAAACAAGGTTGCCAAGCTTAGACAGCGTATTCAACATGCGGGCACACGTAAGCATTGTGCATCATTGGGAAGATTGCTGGGTGAACTCTTCCGAATGCCCTTCGCATCATGCCGACGTGTTGGTTGCCTATTTTTGCGGCTACCTCAGCCTGTTTTGAACAGTTGTGGTCGCTCTGTACGATCACACAATGGTCACGTTCCTGGGAGCTATTCCGCAATCCGTTTGTCCCAAGTTAATAGGTGTAGTTATGTCTATGGCGTAATTGTACAACGCGATATTTGTCTACGTTGAATGGTAGGGCGTTTTGAACTGACCAGTTCAACACTGTGTTAAGATCGCACTTGAACGTTCATGGCCGTCCGGTCCTCCGATCCTTCGCCATATCTTGATATCATCAGCGAAAATAGGAAATCGGAAGCAACTGATTTTGCCAAATCATTAACGAACACCAAGAACAGACGAGGTCCAAGAACCGAGCGTTGTGGTACTCCACACGCCATATCGATTGTATCAGACAATGATTCTCGAACTCTCACCACTACCCGTCGTTCGTGTAGAAAATTGCTAATCTAACTCAGGATAGGGTCGCCAATGCCGTAGTTCCGAAGCTTCTGAAGGAGAATTCGATGGTATAAGCGATCAAACGCATTTGTAAAGTCCAAGTAGATGACATCAACTCCTACTCCATCATCAACAGCTTCAGTCCAGCTATTACGTACAATTAATAGGTTAGTATTACACGAATGTTTTTGACTGAAGCAATGTTGCTTTGAAGCCATTAACTTGTGGCTTTCTAGATACTACATCAGCCCATCTGCAATGATTGATTTCATCACTTTGGATAGCACGGGAAGTAATGTTATTGGACAGTAGTTGGCAGGATCAGTGCGGCTACCTCCTTTATGGATAGATGTGATGACTCCCCGCTTCCATACTGATGGAATATGGTTCTCTTCTAGACAACGCTTATAGAAACCAGCCAGTGGTTCTGCTAGATCACTAACTACCGCCTGTAGAGCCTTCGGTCGGATGTTGTCGACTCCAGGAGAACTGTGGATACGCAAGTATAACAACTCCTTCAACACAGCTTTCGCAATGAAAGTGATGTTGTCTAAACCAGACGGTGGAGTAATAGAAATGAGATGTTTGGGCTCGTTAGCTGCTGGAAAGTTTGGGAGTAATGAAGCCGTAGGAGATCAGCTGCTTCCATTGCTGATCGCGTGCACCCATCAGCCGTGACTAGTGCTGGAATCCCCCACTTCACCTTTCGAAGGCCGTTAGCGTGGGTTTACAGGAGTTTTCGGTTCTTGCAGAATCCCCGCATTTGCTCCTGCTAATGAGTGACCTTGTCTTCGCGGATCAGTTTCACACAGAAATTACGATGCGTCACGTATGCAGTCCAGGTTTTCGCATTCGGGCAGTCCTGATGATCTCGCCATGCCAAATCCCTCCGGGCCACAAATTTACGTGTTCTACTCCTCAGAAATGACTTACGCTTGTTTTTGGGTTGGAAGGACTTCTGTTCTGATGCGTGCGCAACCAGTGTGCTAAACGTACTTATAAATGTTTCCCAGGCAACATGTGGGGGGTATTCGGTTAAGAAAGTCCAAGATGTATCCTTAACAAGCTTAGACAACACATTGCAGTGTGTGACAGTATGCACTTTATCCTCCTCATTTTCAGGGTACTCCGCATAGCATATATAGTCAAAAAGTAGAGTGACATGATCACTACGACTCAGTGGTGTGCTTGTAACTATCCCGTCAACCATGCGTTCTTCGTTGGTTAGCACAAGGTCCAGTATCGACGGCTTGTTAGAAGTTCGAAATCTGGTGGGAGAGGTTACGTGGTTGTACAGA